TCCTAACTGAGCAATTTTGAGCCTCTACTTGACTACTAGTGTTTCTGCAGGTACATAGGATCTAAAGTGTCAACATTTGCACCACTTATACTAATGGAGGTACTAGAAGTTCCTTGTAAAATGGAAAGCTCATCTAAGTCAGATAACACAAGATGAGTTTCGCCGGACAGATCGTGATGATTACATCCAAGCTTCCTCCTAGAGCTGAGTTCTTTTGACGCAGGGGAGATTGGTGTGGGACCATCTAGGCTACTTGGAAAAAGAATATTTCCATAGAAAGAGATGGTTCTTCTTTGAGGAGACACGGTTATTATTTACAAAGCACAAACGAGTGCCAACATTGAAAGGATACTTTTCTTCACTAATTATTAAAGAAATTTGGATAACCAATTTTGCATATCAAGTGTGCAAATATATGATGAATGAGAAACGCCCAAGCCATATTGTGGTTCCGATGGAGTACGAGGCTTCTAGGACTATGACTATTTACTCCCCTACAAATTATCACGTTCCCCATGTCAGAGATATGCATATTACAAGGTGGTACACATAAATAAAGTAAACTTTTATCAAAGTATAATGTTCATATGTATCAAATTTAAAGTATGCATAACTGGCCAAGAATCGAAATACTGGTGTGGATTATAAAGAAGCCACAGAAGCTGCAGGCGTATACGAAACAAGAGTGCAGGAGAACATTCAGAAAAGTAGGAAAGAAAACATCAAATACTACATCTGCTTATGAGACTAAAATCAGAAAACATAAAAACTTGTAATTGGATATCGACTGGCAATGCAACAAAGGTCAACTGTAGTGCGCCTATTTTCCATTCTCCTTTCACCTCAGGGAAAGAGAAAGGAGAAAATTTCATAACTCAGCACAGGATTTTATTTAAAACAAACGTAGTACCAAGAGAGTAATCATTGAGCTGGAGTAAAGCCCTAATACACCATGGATCTAGGATACCTGGTGAAGCAAAGCCAGAGCATGAAACTGAACAAGGGCTGCCCTCGATTGCACAGCTTCCTGAACCTCATTACTCCACCTTTTGACAATCTCTGGGTTTGTCTGTCAACAGATAACAGATATAGCAGCACAATACTGATAGACGAATTCAAAAAAAATAAAATGATAAACAATTCTGTAGTACCTGAAGTAAGTGAATCCCACTGACTAAAGCTGCACTTGCAACCACGGGATTCTTGTCTACAATGGCTTGTTTCAAGTACCGCTCAATTTGGGTGAGAAGGGTTCCATCTGTTATACGACAAAGCACACGAATTGCATTTGCCCGATACATATCAGTCTTGCTATTCATGTCCTTCATGAGGGAACTTGTCACAATAATAACCTTTTCCAGAAAGACCGTAGACCAATCAGTATCCATATTTGCACAGAAAGAAAATTCAAACCTAACAATAAAAGAAAAATTCACACAATAAAAAAGAAAACCTCATCTGCAGATGGAGATAACTCCTTTATCATTAAATAGACCATTCGCCTCAAGCCTATATCTCTTGACTGGAAAAGCTTTGTCACAGCAAAGAACACTTCTGTGGCTTCTATCTGTGGATGAAATGTGAGAAGAAACTAATTCAGAAAACTATATTTTTTAGCATAAGTGGATATTTACAATATGATCTATTCATGGCATGCAACAGGAGATTATTTAGAAAGAGAATCAGCTATACTACAAGTGACAAAAATCACATGGTTCAATCTCTTATTATATAATTAAGATTGGGATCTTCCAGTAAATTTCACCTTGGTGAAAGTTTCTCCTTGGTTCAGTAGATAAAGAAGCTTTGTGATAACCTGCAAGCATAAGAAGGGAAGTTTAGCAATTTCAATGAGCCTATAACCTTGCGACAATGAAGAAGATGAGACATAAGGAAAGAATCAATTGAACAAACAATAACCTGAGAGCATCTTCTTGCATCAAGCTGAGGGTCATTGAAAACCCTAGCTTCCTGAAGGACTGCTCCCTTCTCAATGCCCATAAAGGGAGAGTACTCCGCTGTATGAAAATAAAAATAAAAAAGGTTACATAATCAAGACCCGAGAACGCGCAAGAACTATTACCACATTTCATTAATAACACTGCACAACCGGCACCTCATCAAACCAGAGAGATTGGATCCATCTTACTAAATAATCCACATTAACTACAAATGCACATTGCGATTTGCCAATCAAAATACCAAAAACTGAATCGGGAAATCAAAAATTTATATAGAACGAAAACTGCAGTCAGATCAACCAAATTTAGACCACAACAGCTAAAATTAGACTAATAGTCCGGTATTATTGATCCAGGCATCAATATATAGATAAGTAGAACACTAGAGTGACTGAAATTACACAGATCTAGAAGCTAGTGGGTGATCTATCACAAACAACACAAGATTTGGATATCGGAAACGAAATAATTAAGAATGAAATGAAACAACAGAAGCGGATTGCTAATCAGCAAATAAGAACACAAAACCGAAGGAATTATAGAAGTACCTTCATCGTCACGATCATCATCTTTCTTCACAAGAGGCTGCGCCATTGAGAACTGTGAAGAAGTAGCCTTCGGGATCGATCTGGTAAGAAGTATAGAGTGAGTCTCTATATAGGTGCAAGGAGTTTATGCAGACGCGGTGAGATTTTGAAGAAAAGGATCTGCTGTGTCTCTCCCGTCTTCCGCTCTCTCTTTTGTGTCAGTTAACGAACAAAAATGTTCGAAAGAGGGGTTAGAAGGCGAATTGGGAGAACAGCTTAGATCTGATGCATGTGAAGGGTTTGCAGCATATTGAAGCTGATGAATCTCCACGAATAACAGAAGGCCACGTCGTTTTACCGGGGGGGTGGAGATGAATTTTTTTTATAACGGACGAAGCCGGTTTAATTTATATTCCGAGCATAGTAGTTTTATAGTATTTAATAATAAATTATTTTCTAATTTTTTTTAAATTTTTTAAACAACTGATTTAGTAATTTTTAATTTTTATCTTCATATTTATTTATTAATTCTCGTTTATTTTTGAATTCAAATTATGTCATCAAAATTATAATACTAAATACTATATAATAAATAATTTATTAATTTTTTTTAATTTATAATTATAAACAGAGAATTCTAATTTTAAATTAATTATTTATATTAGGTATAAAAAATTATATTTTTATTTTTCGTAATCAATTTATTTTTTTAATATTTAAAAAAATTATAATTTAAATAATTTTATAAGTTAAATTACTTAATTACAAGTTAAATAATTTTTTTATTTTTTTTATTTAATATTATATATAATAAAATAGAGACAAATTGATAATTTGACTGAATATATAATCATATTATCTTATCAATGTAAATAAAATAATAATTATTATTATACATTAATACACAAATTTTTTAAATATAATATAACTTTATAATTATCAAATTTTACCATACATTAATTACCTATCGAAAAAAAATCAACTAATTTTATTTTTATAATTTCTTCTTGCTGAAAAGCACATGGTTCCTAACTCCTCCCTATTGTTCTTAAATATTGTTGTGTAATTTAAATAAAAACACCTAAAATTCTTTTGAAAGATGAAAAAAATAGTAAAAAGTTGTTGAAAAAACTATCAGCAACAAATTAAAAGAAAAATCAGATTGAGAACATGTGTTTGCATTGGCTTAAGTTGAATCGCATAAAAAATGGTTTGTGTATTATTATTTAACTAACGAATAAATTGAACTGTTAAATTTTACAAGAATACAATATATATAATAGTATCGATACAAACACAAATGACTTGAAATTGAAAAGTACAACAACAACATTATCACTTGCTTTTTTTTTTTTATCTTGGCATGATTACAGAAAAAATCAAAAGGAAAAGAGATGTTACTGTCTGTTCATTCATTCAACATATGGTTTGCTTTAGAGACATCAGTTTGCTTGCCACAACTACATAACATACATGAAGTTTGCATATTAGCCAAGCAATGACATGCTTTTCTTGTTCATTTAAACCTGCTCTGACATGTTAGCCAGCAGTTCTAGTCAGTTTTTTTTTGTTTTTTCTGATGAGAAATGAGTTTTTAAGGACTGATTCTTCGACTACCAACTCCATGTTCACTGCTAGAGCTGGAGGGATTAAGTCCATACTCACTGGTGGCCCCAAATTCACTGCTTGGATATTCACGGCTTTCTAATGCAAGCTTTCTAAACTTTCTCATGTCTGCACTGTATGTGCTTGCATCATAATCTGAACTGCCAGCACTCGAGCCAAAGTAAGCACTTTGTCCAGGTTTAACTCCTTCATTCAGATCGTCCAGGGAGACATCGCCTTCAAGTGCTCGAACAATCTATTTTAAATAGTTCAAAGTTTTAACTCGAATTCAAATTACATCACGATATAATTTTCTGGGTTACCAATAACTACAATCGATCAATCAATCCATAAGAAGAGTGTAATGAGTTTTTTTTTTTTTTTCTTTTCTTAAGTTTTTCGGATAATTCAACTCTATTTATTCACATGTCAAGATGTCTTACCTGGCTCATTTTTGGTCGTCGCCTCGCAGAATGCCTAATGGATGCGGCAGCACATGCGACCATGCGTGCCATCTCATGAGGATCAAATTTGTTCTCTAAACGCGGATCTACTAACTGACTATAGTCGCCGTCTTGAGCTGCTTGCAAACATAGAGGTCTTGCCTGCTCATGTATAAAATCATCAAATTTTCCAATCGAAATCAAATTAAAGAAAAAAAAAAGATTCAAACTTGTTAATCTCCACAATAATTTAATATGACAAGTGGGTGAAAATTAGCTAAGAGATGGACGAAGAATGTGCCCACCCAATCCACTAAGCTATCTTCCAGGTCAGCTTCAGGATCAACAGGTTTCTTTCCAGTTATCAGTTCCAAAAGCATTATACCATATGAAAACACATCGGATTTTTCTGTGAGTTTGCCACTTGAAGCATATTCAGGAGCCAAATAGCTGTATTGTAGAGAAAAAACTTCCATCAAAATGCCAATCCACTGGCAATATTCTTGTTTTATCTTTTTAAAAAAAAACCTCTCAAGTTAAATTTCTTACCCAAATGTTCCCATGACACGAGTTGACACATGAGTGTAGTTGTCTTGAGATAGCTTGGCCAATCCAAAATCTGCCACCTACATGACAAATTATATGACATTTTATTTTGTCTAACAAATTAAAATGAGATGGGCAAAACAAGGTTTGAACTTGAATGCAAATACTAGACGAAAACAAGCAGCTTACCTTAGCCTCGCAACTATAATCAAGTAGAATGTTAGCAGTTTTAATGTCCCTGTGGATAATCTTTGGATGACCTATATTAATAAAGCAAATGATAGTCTTACTTGAGGGTTACTTGAGACATACATAAACCACACGTATTAAGACTTAGTTTACTTACAATCTTCATGTAAATAGGCAAGTCCTTTAGCTGACCCCAAGGCGATTTTGAGCCTAGTTGGCCAATCCATGACAGGGCGACCCTTTCCTACATATTCACCAAAAACTATTATAATAAAAAAAAAAAAAAAAAAAAAAAAAGAAAAAAGATTTTGATGAAGGAAAAAAGAAAAGACTGACAAAAGAAGTTAGACATACCATGAAGGTGGAATTCAAGAGTGTCATTAGGAAGAAATTCATAAACCAACATTCTTTGACCCCCTGCAATGCAATAACCAACAAGAGACACAAGGTGACGATGATGGACACGACTAATGATCTCAACCTCGGCCTGAAATTCGCGCTCTCCTTGGCCACTACCAGACTTAAGGCTCTTGACAGCTATCTCTTTGCCATTAGGCAATACACCTTTGTGCACGTAACCAAACCCGCCCTGACCCAATAACTGCGCCTGTGAGAAGCCTTGAGTTGCAGCGGCGAGCTCATCATAAGTGAAAGTACTTTTGTTGAAGCCAAGAGCCACAGAGGGGTGCGGAGGAGGCAGAGAAGGACCATGTGGGCCGGAGAAATTAGAGCTCATGTCACTGCTACTACCAGGTATAGGCGGTGGTGCCAATGGTGGTACTTGTGGTGATTGGGACCAATTTCCCATACCTCCTGTTTGTGGCGATTGGCCCCAGTTTCCGCTAGGTGAAGGCATGGTAGGTCCCTGGTGTTCATATCGTGGCTGTTTTGGCGAAGGATTGTAGTAATCACCTCCAACTGATATAACAATATAATTATAATTTCAACCATTGTTAATATGATCTTATTATTCATTTATAATCTATATTTACTTCTGTTTTTTAATACAAAATTTTCTAAAATTTATTAAAATTCATCAAAACTAGAGAATCAAACATAAAATAATTAAATTGAAGTGTTTGAATGATGAAATTGTGAAGAAATAGAAGTCAAATAAAAATCAAAAGAGAAATAATATCGTATACGTAAAATAAGCTTTTTATATTCCATTGAAGGCTAACTTAAATGTAACTGTACTAACTTACCCTTAGAAGGTTGATAGGGAGGGTCATTGTAGTAGTGGAAATGATCATGCTTTGGACGCCTCTTCTTTTTCTTTGAGCATACCACACAAACCAATATCATTAGAATAATTAATAGTCCTGCACCGACTACGACTCCAATAACCACATTCCGATTGTTAGCAGATATTGATAACGAGTTGTCGTTATCGTTGCTACTGTTGTTGTTGCCGTTGGAATTTGATCCATTAGGAGGTCCTAATGCTCGTGGTGGTGAGTTAAAGTTTTGACCGGGATTTCTGCGTCCTTGTGGAGGAGGTGGTGGTGGTGGTGGTGGTGGTGATGGTGATGGAACAGTGTTGTTATTATCATTATTGTCACCATCATTGTTGTTTTCCGGTGGCGGAGGGCTTTTATCCGATGAGTTTTCTGGTGCGGGTGGTGAAGGCGAAGACTCTTTTGGTGGTGGTGAAGATTGTGATGGTGGCGGTGGTGACGGCGAGCTTTCCTCTGATGGTGGCGGGGGAGATGAATCTGACGGAGGTGATGACGGTGGTGAAGCCCCGCTCTGCTCATTTCCGCTCCCTTCTTCCATCTCTTGTGGTGTTTCTCCGCGTCAAAATTTGCTGGAGAAACCCCACCTCTCTCCTCCTTTTTAACGGCCTAATTTATCAACCGCTTCACCAAAAGAAATGATCGTGAAAGACAAATTAATTAGTGACTGTAAATTATTGAAATGACAATCATTCACAAGTTTAAAACACAATCAACTCATACAACAACAACCAAAAATCATATTCTAGGCGGGCGTTGTGTGCCGGTGCCGGTGCCGGTGCTAGTGCATACAACGAAACACAAAACGATGTTGAAAGGCACCATTGTTTAAGATCGTAAGGGCTGTAATTACCTCGAGGGAGAAGGGTAGGAGGATTCTCAAAGGAAGATAAAATGCTGCTCAAATGAATCAACTTTTTTCCTTGGCGAGAGAATCAGCCCCTCCTAAAGACGAGGCAAGTCTCTATTTCAACTACTATTTTAACCGTGGGTTATTTTCCTTCCAAATTTTCTATATTTGCACTGTTTACTACCCAAATAAAACAAATAAATTTAGCCATTTTACAGTTCGGTAAACAGCTTAATTACTATTCGTGTAAAAAAAAAAAAAGAATAACAGGTAAATAATTTAAGTAGAAAATGAAAATTTACCTATTAATGGCCTCTAATTTTAACCATCTAATTTCAATGCCTTCATTTTCCAACTCATTTACTTTGTGCAAATTAAATTGCTCGGATTCCTATTTTCACGGTTTTAGTCACAATTGTCAAAAACGTACCCGCAGAAAAAAAAAAAAAGGGATTGTACAAAAATTATAGGGGTGCAATACGAATATAACATGATGCTATAAATTATGTTTCATAATCTTTTTTATAAATTAATTACGTTTATAAAATTTGAAAGCTTGGTTAGTATAAGTATTAATAATTTGTTGTAAAATTGAATAAAATACTGCTGCTAAAGTTGTGACGGTCAAGCTTCCTCCTTTTAGTTGGGTTTTAGCAGGTGCTTTGAATGGTGATTATTACTTGAAGTAATGATTTTAACTAGTTAAGGAACAAAAAAAAAAAAAAATGTCAATAGTAAATTTAGAAAAATTAACTGAGCAAGCTAATGATGATGATGATATATACATATATATAACCGTACCATACGCATGCTTTTATAAATAAAAAATGATAGAAATTAATTAGTGAAAAATAAAAAATAAAAGAAAAACTTGCTCTCGTTGAGAGTCGAACTCAAGACCTCCCGCTTACTAAACGGGTGCTCTAACCCAACTGAGCTACGAGAGCTACGTATCCCGGCATCGGTGTTGTAATAAAATGTAATTGAATCGAAATGATTGGACGTTGACGTTGAAAAACCGCAACCGCAGCTGTCACCCAAACAAATCCAAAGAATATACGGAGATGTAAAATAAAAATTCTACGAAATATATTCATTAGCGATGCAAATGACAGATCAGAACAGCTTTCGTGAGCGAGCATAGTAGAAGGGTCGAGTCCGATCAGCTTTCGAATAAGCAACCATTTCGGGGAGAACCACAGACCAATTAGACTCCACTTTCGTCCAAATTCCTCTGTCTCTCTTTCTCTTTGTCTATATATATATATATATAGGTAGATACGTACTCAGACGCACGCAGGCTTCTTCTCGCTCGTGATAGATCGATCGAATTCCGAATCAGAGGATGCCATCCCGTAGAAGAACCCTTTTGAAGGTCATCATCCTCGGCGACAGCGGGTAACCTACCTGTTCCACTCTTTTCTCTTTATCTGTGTTTAGGAATTTGAGTTTTTGGATGCTAGGGTTTTCCGTATGAATCGGGCAGATCTTTTGAGATCTCAATATTCCGATGTGTGTGAATACAGCTTTTTACATCAGAATTTAGAAGAATATGATTTAATCAGATATGATTCAGATTAGGTGACTATAGGCGTTATGTTAATTGTGTTGACTACTCAAGCCTCTGGCTACTTCATTTTTGTTAGCCTGATTTTAAATCTACGGAGCAGGTGGTTAATTCGACTCTGTAGTCTAAGGTTAATATGCACTGTTTTGACTCTCAAATTGATGGCTGTTTGAGATTTTTTTCTAGGTGCAATTCATCAGAGAATGAAATGTCCGTATGTTGATATAAATTCTGTTATTTCTGGAATCAAGATATCGTTGTATTGTTGTCATTTTATACTTGTTTGCATATGACTATTTAATGCGGTGATCAATATTATTGAATTTATGTGATTTGCAGGGTGGGGAAGACCTCTTTGATGAATCAGTATCCTTAAAGACCTTTTTATTATGAGCAAATATGTTTTTCTGCTGGCTGCTTGTGAGTGAGTTATGTACCTCTCTTGTTTTCAGTGATGATGTGGTCGTTTCTAAAAATGCAACCTCTTCATATTATTTGTGAGATTTCTGTTTATCTTTTCAAGATTTGGTTTGGTTAGCCTTGACCTCGCGCTCTTTAGATATGTAAATAAAAAGTTTAGCAATCAGTACAAGGCTACTATTGGGGCGGATTTTTTGACCAAGGAAGTGCAGTTTGAGGACAGACTTTTCACCTTGCAGGTTTTTATTGCTCTTATCTCCTGATGCACATATATGTTTTAAACCCTTTCCATTGCTCTAGAAACTTACTATTGAAATTTACCATCTTTGCTTTCCTTGTTGAGTTAGTGTTTATTGATGTCTGTTCTGATATTCGTTAACAGTGATAAACTACAATTATCTAAGTATGTTTGAATGTCCTTATAGAGAAGAAAAACCAATCAATCCCTCTCTGAAGGTCTCTGACCTGGACATGTATAACCTTTGATATCTTGTTCTATCATATTAATATCAATTTAAAATTTCTTAAGCTTTGATGCATAGGTAGAGGGAAAATCCAAAGGGTAAAAGGAATTAGATTATTGATAGCAACCTAATGTTCTCTTGAGTCTGGGAAGTGAAGCATTTGTCCTTGAATACTACTGTTGAAAGGTAAGAATGCAAAATTCTCCTGTGATTTTGAGTTTTAACCATAAAGAATTTTCCAAAGTAAATAAAAATCTTGAGTTTTTTCTCCTGCATTTTCCCATTGTACATTCGTGCACATCTTTCATTGTTTTTTATATACTTATTTTTTATTTTTTAAAAAAAAGTGAAAAGTTGAAGTGCCTTTTTATGAATTTGTGTGTGTTCTTAGAAGTTCTACAATTTGGAATAATGGACTTCAAATCCGCCAGTTAGTAAGCTTGCATTTCATGGAGCTTTATATGCATCTTGTGCTCTTAAAGAATTCTTTTGTTCTCTTCCTTTGCAGTATGTATGTTGAATGATTATCAAGATATGATACGTGTGATAAAATCTTGTTGAGGAGAACTGTGGCTTTGTCTTTTTGACTTGTTTTTTACTTCCATACACTTGATATAGTGAAGATTTCTCAGTTATCTTCATTGTAGGTTATAATAAAGATTTCTCATGGCATTTGAATCGGCAGAGTTATCTGTTCATGTATTTGGATGGAATGGATGAGGTTATAGTTACAGATTATACATTTTTAGTGTCTTCATTGTAGGTTATGTGAATTATTTCTTCCTCTTGATCCATAGTATGTACATTACCATTAAAGAAGTATTAGGCAAGCCCCTTAGCCTCTAAAAAGAGAGAGATTTAAACTAAAAGTATATAACAAAATTTTATTAGTCTTCTATAAGTTTTGCAGGCTTATTCTGAAATATTGAAGTTTTCGATGGTGGGAATTCAACCTCTATTCTGCAAGATGGGAATTGAATTCTCACAACCTAGGAATTTTAATTGAGGAGCAGTGGAAACTCAAGCATTATAAATTATGTTCAGATTATGCATATTAAGGCTGATACGAGACTTAGAATCAGGAACTGAACGAGAAATGAACCAAATGCAAGCTGAATCTGTAGTCAATTTGTCCGTTACTAGTGTTAAAGATATCTTTTGGGTGAAGAGTTCTTGAAGATGCTTGGAACCATGGATATTGTGGTACCTAAATCTCACAATGGAATGGAGCGATTTACGAGCTCTATATAAGGGCTCAAAGTCATTTACTGCTAAAAACTTGAACTGAAGCTTTTGATGGCCAATAAACAAATGATTTAAGCATAAAAAGTTATTAGGGAAAGCATGTGCCAAGTTGGTGATTCCCAGATGTTATATTGAATTTTGTGGGACTTTAATTATTAATTTGTTGTGAGTAATATGTGGCTTTGATGAAGAGGTTAAAGGATCTAAGTACCTGAGATTATAATATTCCTCGGAATGGTTATTGATCAAGCTAAGCTTTATATAAAGGATCATATCACTCATTACTACAAGCTATTGGTTTGGGACTAAAAAAATTACTGCACTAGTTTTTTATTCAAAAAAAAAATTACTGGGCTAATAATGATGCTTGAACCTGTTATTGGTTCATGATTCTTTAGAGTGCATGTTTGTATTTGTTTTGCCTTTCGTTAATGCATGCTTTTGTAGAGTTCAAGTGTAATTCAGTCTTACTAGCACTTGAAGCTTTTTATTTGAGGAAATTCATCTATATTCATTAACTTGTGTCCATTTGAATGATGGTTTGACACTTTTTTTATGGCATTGTCATAGATATGGGATACAGCTGGCCAGGAAAGATTCCAGAGCTTAGGTGTAGCTTTCTACCGTGGTGCTGATTGCTGTGTTCTTGTATATGATGTTAATTCAATGAAATCATTTGACAACCTTAACAACTGGAGGGAAGAATTTCTTATTCAGGTGTGCATTTATGTTCTTATGTAATAACTAATGAAAAAATATAATAACTATTTGATTGCTCAAGATGTAATGTGAGACAAATTATGAGCTTGTGATGATAATTGGGGAAATCTCTGCAGGCAAGTCCATCAGATCCTGATAACTTTCCATTCGTGGTTCTTGGGAACAAGATTGACGTGGATGGTGGAAACAGTCGAGTGGTATGTACTTCTGGGAAACTCTCCAAAACTCTCCCTCTCGTTTTTGTGCACATGCATATGTATTGAGTAATAGAAATTTATATGCATGTGCATATATAAATATATATGGCATATGCTTATATATACATGTATGTTCATTATGTGCATGTGTACATGTATGTGAAAGAAAACATGAGTGTTAACAAAAAAAGCAGAGTATAATGAATACATAAAAGAATCCGTGGACATGCATTGTACGTTGCCGTTCTGCATGTTGTACTTTTTCTTTCCTTTAACAGGCATAAGATATATTTTTGTTTAAACCCTTCAGGTTTCAGAAAAGAAGGCCCGAGCATGGTGCGCCTCGAAAGGAAATATCCCATATTTTGAGACCTCTGCCAAGGAAGGCATTAATGTGGAAGAAGCTTTCCAGTGCATAGCAAAGAATGCCCTCAAGAGTGGGGAAGAGGAAGAGATGTGAGTTAAAATCTTAACTGTCTTTTATTTTAAGAGGCATGGATGTACTGGATGTCCATACACATTATTTTTCATAGTTAGGGAAATGCCTTGACAAACATAAGCATGTAATAGTTTTGGATGTACGATGATTGTGTTTTTTCTATGTTCTTTTTGCTCACATTCCTTTGTGGCTTTTTATGTTGTGAAGATACTTGCCCGACACCATCGATGTTGCAACCAACAGCCAGCCAAGATCAACTGGATGTGAGTGTTAAATAGATTGCCGGAATCATTTCAGTGGCAATAATTTCTCCACAAGTGTTACAATAGTCTGGGTTTTGTTCCGAATTCATGGATTGCCTTCGTAGTCGTATTTTTATGGATGTGTATGGGGCCTACATTGTACATTTATGTTTTGTGTGGAAACAAATTGGTCTGTCGGTCTACATTTTAGTTTTTGCTGAGCACTCTCTCGCTCTCTCTCTCTCGTATTGTTGACATAAGTCTTTTGATTTTATTATAATGATTATTTCTTTCAATTAGTGCAATATGAAATCATTTTCCTTTAAATCAATGAAATTCTAAACAGTTGGATTTGAAGCTCCGTAGAAGAGACGATCAACTGCCCGTTACACTTGGCAATCATTTTTTCTGGTATTTTTTTCCTGAGGTGAATAGTCAAAAGAAAGGTAAGAAACAGCATCTGCAATAAATGGCAAAGATTACATCTTTGATGTAAGAACGGCATGTCCATTCTAGCCTCTAGATTTTAAAGAGTGGGAACTGAGTAGCTATTACCGTATGCATATTGCTATTCCCAAATTTGCAGTTAAGAAAAGGAATATACAGGGTCATAAGGAATTTACAGGGTATTCATATCTAAATTTGGTTAAGTCTCGACTGCAATTATTTAAGATCATGAATTTTTTTGTGCCAGATTTAACATCACCATGCCCCATGTCCATAACCAGTTTATCTTCCAAAGAGAAATTTCCGCCCTTGTCCCTGGCTATATGACATCTTTCAACCTTTTGATCTCAAGCTTTCTGAGGTTGTCACGGCCAAGGGTGCAGCTATGAAAGCAAATCAACTGTTCTGATTTCTGTAGTTCCAGCCCAAGTAAAAAATAGATAAAAATAAAAATAAAAAGAACTCGCAGCTAAAAATAATGTAGAAGCAATTTACAACAATCACATGTGCCTGCTATCTCGTTGTTGCTAATCTAAGCATCCACCGGTAAACCTACCTCTCCAAACAGACCCATAATTTCATATTACAGAAGCTACAGACTTTTGCACATACACTAGCTAATTGGTTACACCAGAAGACATTTACTTGGTCTTACAAAAACTATAAACATCTGGCAAATTCAAAATTCCAGGCCATTTAACTTGTCATTCCTGAGCAGTTTCTGACCAGACTACAAACCAGGCAAATGCTGAGCAAAAATATCTTGGTAAGGGAAGACACTGATATCACCTGCTCTTAAGATTTATAGGCGGCCATCTGAATTTGTAAATACAATCTTGCTTTCGGATTGGTAGAGACAAAACTAGGTTGATCCAACTTTTATCCTCTGGAGGACCTTCCAAGATTTGGCTGGATAAAAGATACAAGGGATTAAAATGAAACTAAATGTTCTACATTGCCAAGAAAAACTTTCCATGGAAAGAAAGAAAAAACACAAGCCCAAACAACAGCAACAAATTCAAGAAGCAAGAGAACTTACCTTGTAAAACTGGTAACATATTATCAGTTGTATTAAAAATGGATAAAACTCTATTCACAACGACTCTGAGTAGAGACTACTTTGTTCCAACAGAAGAAAGTTGTTCGGGACCTGAAGGTTGAACTGAACTTCCTGACACAGTTGCAGACACCAGTGGATTAGAAGTTGGAGGTAATGTCCCTGTGGGCCTTGACATTGATGGCCTCTGGGACATCAGGCCCATAGGGGGCTTTGGAACTGAGTTAGCAAAGTTTGTAGCAATTCTGTTGGTTGCTAATGATGGTGGCATTGCTCTAGATGATGAAGCTGGTATGCCTAGTCGGGCTGCTATTATCTGTGCCCTTTCATGGTAAAGCCTTTGCCGGGATCTGTCTAACTGCTCCCTTACCCTCATCATCACACTATCCATGTCATTGAAGAAAGCCAACTTGGTTTCCAGCTTATGCAACTTCAAGAGATGGAACCCTCAAAGAAGTTAGTTTATGAGCTTAAGCATAAAAAACCAACTGAAAACCAACTATAGATATGAGACTACCTGCTTCTCTATAAGTGATGAAGCAAGTTGTCGGATTTGGTCCTCTTCCTGATCTGCAAGAAGTTTTGCCTTCACTGCTGCAGCTGAGAGCGCAGAAACTGCAGCACACTTTATTTTGCCAACAAGATGGTCATCTTCTTGTCCCTTCATCCATCATCCTTGTCCTTTTTTGCCATCTCCCATTTTTGATCCTCACCTGCAAGTTCAAGGACAAGAGATACTTAGAATAGATGTCTCATGCAAGTAACAGGTTTTATTTAACCCAACCTTGTAACTTAATGCATGGCTAAAGCATATCTGAAAAAAAAACCCTACAAATATACTAAATTAGAAATTCACTCTCCTGGACCATGATTCAAGTACACCAGGCATTAATCCAAAGCTTTGGATACCATAGTTACTTTCTTTTGCATGCTCTTTCATAAAATTGAGTCATGTATATGTGACAACATTGTATTCCCAGAACCTATGACAATAACATTGGCTCTCTACCGTAAATTTCACCTCCCAAATTTAACAAGACAGACTCAGAGAGAAAGAGAAAAACCTGCTGCTGCTCCATTTTCAACAGGTGAATTAGATGAAACTGGTTGCTGAGACAGCACCATTTCAACATCCTTTGCCACCTCTGTCTGTTGACAGGACTCATGTCCAACTGTTGTAACGGGCTCCTGAGGTTCATTCTTCTCTGGGCTCTCTGCCATTACTGCATCTTTCCCTCCCTCAGCATGCTGAGAGGCTTCTCCAACTGAGTTTGATGTGTGTAGTTCATACTGTTCATTCTTATCTGCAGGAAAACAGTCAGATGGTACATTTACATCCTTTGCTGGCTCTACAGGCTGTGACAGCTCCTCTGCCAAAGTTTCGCTTACAGGCTCTTGCAAAGAACTTTCAGGAACTTCTGTTGCTAAATTGTTTTGTTCCTTTACAGTACTTGGTTGTTGGTCCTCTGGAAGCTTCACGTTCATTGATTCTTTCAAATTACCATGACTGTCTTCCTCGTGAGTAGTTTTTCTCCCTTCTTTTGAAGCATTTACCATTACAGTGGATTCATCAATGGTAGAGACTGAAGCTTCATTTCCTTCTGTAACAGAATCTTCATCTTTTTTGTCACCGTGATTATTTGCTGAATCTTTGTCATCCAAAACTGAGGCAGAGATATCCTCTTTATTGTTTTTGTCTTCAGGTTTCTCATATTTATTAGCATTCTCACTACACATCTCAGCGATAGCACTGCAAATCAGACTTGACACTCACAATCTGCCACAGTAATATAAGTACCACACAAGTTAACATACCTCTCAGAACCTGATGGTTCCTTAATATCATTTGGTGGATCCTCCAACAGAAAAGAGTGTCTTGCAGCCAGCTGCAAGCCAGGAGAATTGCCAGAAATGGATTTTAAGGACGCACGAGCTGAAACAGCAGCAACATCGCAGCCCACTAATTTTGCCAGAAAAGCTGCCTGTAGAGATAAAGTAAGATCTAGCACATCAGAAATAGAGATAAAAATAAATTTAAACTTGGAATTCCATTGTCATATTTTTCCTTGATAAGCATCCAAAGAAAGGTACAATATCTTTGTGTCCAAACATGCAACTTACCAGTGTCATTACTGGATTTCCTACATCCGCAAAGGAATGAGGGCGATCAGCATTTAGAGGATAGCCAACAGCTTCAAATGCTTCTTTAAGAGCCATCAGTGCAAGGTCGTCACTTGTCTGACATCCATCTTTTACTTCATTGGTATCTTTGGATCTTGATGTTTCCTCAACAACTTTCACTTCTATTGTTTCTACAGGTTTTGAGGTTTCCTTACAAACTTTCATTTCACTTGCATTTTCTGGTTTTAGAGTTTCCAGGCAAGTTGACTGACCATCATTAGCAACAGTGTTGCCTTCTGTTGTTTCAGGGACATTTTTAGAGGTGGATGTATTATCATTATTGGTTGCAGATAAGTCTGCAGCTTCTTTAGAAGTGGCATCTTCGTCATCAGCAGAATCAAGAAATGTATCCTCAATAGGCATTTGAACAAAATGCAGTATACACTGAGCTTTTGTTTTTGTGGCAACATGCTCTGCAATCTCATTCCAATTTTCATTATAAAGTTCTAAAGCTTCTAGCAGGAGTAGAGTCTCCTGATCAGTCCACTTCCCACCACTGAAACCAGGAGCCTCAGCAGGCTCCATGAGAATAAAATCGGATGAAGACATATTAGAGCCGAACTTGCCATTATTAAAGCATTCGGTGCATAAGTCAAAATCTGCCTGTTAAAATTAAAATAATTAGAAGAGAGAATATACATGAAAATTTGATTCATAAATCAACAAATAACAAGAAGTTTCTAACTACAGTATGACTTTGTCACCTTGATGAAATAAGTTTTTCACAGATGACTTGCTTGTTGCTGATAAATAGCAGATTTAAGGCATTGCAGATGCTCAAGACAAATAGTTTTCCAAAAAGAGAAAAATTCAAGATGAATTAAGTGCAAGCTAAATTAACTTATCAAATGCATAGCTACATGTGGCCTATGGATTCCATCATGGTTGAAATTTGAAGCTGAAATTTTTTATATAGTTGTTAGTACCTTAGCTTTAGAAAGGCAAGAAATTCATTATGCATCAAGCATACTAGAATTAGAATTCTTTCTCCGCATTGGGAAGGATCTCTTTTACTAATTTTTTAAGGAAAAGTATTATTCTATTCAGAAGTGCATTTTATGCTAAATTATGCTTTGCTTTTCTCACCACAAGCCTCCGTAAAGATGAGAGTTCAAAAATAATAATCAAGAACTGCTAATAACCAAAAAAACTCAAAAACAAGTGGAAATTAATGGAAACTAAAGTCACTTTCATTTCTCACTAATAAACGACCAAAACTCTTTTTCCCCCAATAGAAAGAAACAAAAATAATTTTAAAATTTGCAAATTTTTTCCTTCATAGATACCACGGTATATAATTTCCTACTGAAATACAAAGGAGAAACTACCTGCTTCTGGCAATGGTAGCGCTTGCGAGAACAATCAGCCGAGCAGGAGTTGCAGTGGTATTCAACAGCTGGCCCCTCTTGCTTCACTAACTCTTCAGCAATTGCTGAATCTGGAAACAACCTTGATGGCATAGTGGGAGTTGTGAGGTGAGGCTTAGGAATAACTGGTGTATACTGAATAGCTTCAAAGTGATATAATTTATCAATCAAGGGATCCTTCTTTTCCAAAACATCACAGATAACACCAGCTGAAGCAGAGTCTGCCGACAGAAATGGATGGAAATTAATCAAACCCCAGTAGTCCAAGAACTCCATAACTTCTTGCCTTGCATCCAAGTCCCCAACCTCAAGTTCTGACAAATCTTTCAATTCAATCTGTGTGTTTGGATTTGCATGAAATCTCTTCATGATCCAATTACGTATTTGCATGTAGATATCAGGAGTCCGTGCTTGGGACTTCCCATTAAAGAAAGAAGGTAATGAACGCTCTTCAAGAGGGTGAATCTTTGTCCATGAAAACCAACCTGACAACAGAAAGGAGAAATGCGCAACTAAGAAATTTGCTTCTAAAAACGCATATTTGCCAATTTTCAAAGCCTAATTCTCTTCTCTTGAATCTTGTAAAAAATTTAAGCAAGGAGCTCTGAATAAAAGGCTTGTATGTTTAAAACCCTAACCTCCCTTCCGGTAACAATTAGACAACAATCCTTGATGCTGTCACTACCAAGCTGTGAAACCAATGGACTGTTTGAACCTAGTACAGTATCTAATCAGCTTCCTAAAATATAGCCCCCGTACAGCCTTAAACAACAAAGCATTCCAAAAAAAAAAATTTCTTCCACATCTTTTTTTTTGAGGAACCTCCTGGGAAGTATTTCTGAGCCTTGAAGGCCAAAAAAATGCAAGTAATTGCATAAGTAACTGTAGGAAAGAAAAACTAAAGACTCTAAACTCTCAACAGAAAACATTGAAAAGTAAGCCTTTAATAAGATGCACAAGTATTAGCACAAGAGAAGAGTAAAAAAGAATAGGCTGTTTTGCTGTCTCGTCTCTTTGCTAACTATTTTTCATCCACCAAGGGATTACTTGTAACCTCATATTAGCTTAAACATTACATGACAACATGGGTTTCATAAGAGCATTCACAAGAGCATAACCCTTCCTTAAGCTACAAAACAGCAAGAAATCAAGAATTTCCACCCCTTTTTCTATGCTTTCTCCGCAAAGAAACAGACAGCAAGAGGAGAAACAGAAAATAAATTTTGAAAACTTTTCAAATTGACTACACCTAAAAGGCAAAAGAATTCAGCTGAATTGAACTCCAACACCAACAAAACGCCCAAAATGTCCAATTCTTCTCTTTGCCTCGTCCATTTTATCGGCAATCAAACAGACAGTACGAACTAAAAACCTGGAATTTCCACTTTCTTTACTAATTCTAACTTCTCCCTCGCAACCAAGCACAAAAGAACCGACTTTCATATCAAACCACATGCGAATTAAACGTAATGCTAGGGCATTCACAATTTAAAAAGAAATAAATAAACAAATGAATATGATAGGAACTAACCACAATGGTTAGGCACCGCATGCGCACTGCTGTCGCGAGATCTAATAGCTTCAAATTCAGATTCGATCTTAGCCTCCAAAGCCATCCACTCCTCACTTCTCCTGTTCATTGCCTCCTCCTCGCGCTTATAAGCCGCAGCAGCCTTATCCTCCTCCAGCTTGGCGCCGAGAACCGAGTTGGCCGATCCGGAAACCAAGGCCGAACCGGAGGCAAGGTTGTTAGGTGCCTGGCGAGCTCTTGTCAAAGGGCCATTGTGGATCGGAGGGTGAGAGATCAACATCGACTTCTCGCGAGTAATCCGTTTGGAGGACGCGGACGAGGAGTTAGAAGCAGCGAGGGCATTGGATTTTCTCTTTTGGCCCCCGGCGCGGCGCCGGGTAGAAGCTGGCTCCGACGCAGGGGACTCAGCTCCCACCGCAGAGCTCGGCGGCGATAAGATTCCGGCGTCCCGCCGTTTCTCCTCCATGTCGAGTGGCCTTTTCCTTGGCTCCAGAAAGGAGAGAGCTGTTATCAGTGTTGCCGTCGTCAGTAACATCCACCAGGCGCAATAAACCATTTCCGCGGATTGCTACTGCCAATAGAGAAGTTTTTCTCCTTGGACGCCAGGTGTCATCGTTTTATTGGGACACAACGTGAGTTTCCTCTCTGGCAGTAGAATTCTCCTAGCGCGTCAACCCGAATGTTCCTGTGTGGTCGGGACCACGATAAGTTTAATCTGAACCGTCGTTTTTGTTTGAGGAGATTGACTAATGAGTGGAATGTAGAAAGATTGTAATTCACCAAAACAAAATCCTTAAAAACAACAAATGTCAGGTTAGGGATTAACGTTGTACAAGGCAGAACTTTTAAATGCAAAAAAAGCGATCGCATGTATCCGTACAGGGACATTATCCTCTGAAGATTGTGGGTTGGGATATACCTCCAAGTCAAAAGTGGAGAGCGTTATAGAAAGAAGATACAGAAGAGTGAAATTGATCAAATCATAAAAATGGTGTTAGTTTTGATTTGATGGGAAGACTGGTACTTTTGTCCTAAGAACAGCATAGATTATGATTAATGTTCAAATATATATATATATATATACATATATATGTATGAGTTGGAAACATTCACCACTATAGACTCTGAACTTTCTGAGAGTAAGTTATTTTGAGTTTCGAATGGATGGTGCTGAAGCCAGAGAGCTTTCTAATAAATTTACATGTCAATAATGGAGGTTTAGTACGACAATTTTCAGAGAAAAAGATATATGGGTTAGGGTTAGGGTTAGGGCTTTGTTCTTTCGGGTCCAAGTTGAAATGGGCTCAACTGTTTGAAGCTCATTGCATTTTAAGCTTTGGGTTTGAATATGAAGTTATTTACTTATATCTCTTATGTCAACGTTGTCATAATCTTATACTACTTTATATATATATATATATATGTAACGGCCCCGGAAAATATTAAAAAAGAAATGAGTATTTAAATATATCGAATGCGGAAGCGAGATCAAAATTTTAGTTAACATCCCTTACACGAAAAAATCAAAAAAACGTACTTAAAATATAAAAGGTTAAACTAACTAAGAAAGAAAACTCGAAAATAAACTATGCGTATGACTACAGAGTCTCTAGGCATCCCCTTCGTCGTCCTCCTGCGGAACGGGCTCGGGAACCATGTCTTCCTGATCTGAAATGGTTAATTAAGGAGTGAGCTACACTAGCCCAGTAAGAACATTACGATATCTCACCGTCACGGAGATAAAGGTGGGTAGAAAACCACAAAAAGACCAATGGAGCATAATTTACAATAAACTCGTTTATTAACATGAAAACCTTTACCATCCACTTACTTCGGTGGAATTTATGAAACAATATAAGAAAAATAATAACATTATCACAATCATGGAATAATATAAGCTGTAAAACATAGCACTTATCACGCCTTTTGTAATTCAATCATTATACAACATATCCTTTTCTCATTTACCAGCCTACTAGTATCCATGGGGGTCCCTAGGGGTCCCGCTACCCGTTAACCTTTAACATTCATAATCAGTTTCCAGGGCCGTCCCCATACCCCGTCCGGTATGGGCGCCAAAACCATAAACCTCAATACCCCGTCCGGTATGAGGGTGAAACGGGCCGTCCCCATACCCCGTCCGGTATGGGCGCCAAAACCATAAGATCTCCATGCCCCGTCCGGCATGTGAGACCACAATCCCGGTAGGGTTCCCTACGGACCCGGTCCGTCCACCATCTCCCAGGATATCTAGTCAGGCTGACCCCATCATACAATTATCAGTTTATACAATATTTCATTTCCCTTTTTCCTCAATAAGCATCATCAATTCACATTTAAACAAGCAAATCGTAATTCATGCCGAACAGACAACATACAGTATCAGTTCTTCAGTCATTCAACCCATAATTAATAAAACAGTAATATATGCATTCGAAATTATAAAATGAACACATCAAACCCCATAATGCATTTAAAGCTGTAAAACAGTGTAAAACATGCCAAACAACAGTAAATCATTAATCACACTAGACTCGGGCTCCATTAGCAACCTTAAGCAATTTCACACATGCGTTAATTCAAGAAATACCGTTTTATCATTTTGAACTTTAATACCGTGATAGGAAATAGGGTGAGGGGTCCTTACTTGTTTTCGGGATCCGAATACGATTCACAGTGCGCCTGCAGGCTGTCCCTAATTTTCCCTGAATTTTTCCCGGGGAACTGAAACACGCTAACAGTACCTGCACGTGTTCCAAAAAAAATCCAAATTAGGCCCAGGGCCTCTTTCGGCCCAAATCGCAACTCCGGCACGGCGGCTCTGCCGTGCTCCGGCGACGGCGCCGCCGCTGGCGGCGGCGAGTCGCCTCGGGTTGGCTGTTTTTGGCCGTTTTCGGCCGAATTCGGCCACACTCGCATCGGTCCTTGTCAGAAAACAACCCTAGGGCCCTCGGGGGGCCAAAAAATCACGGAAAAGCGGAGCTTACCGGCGGCGGCGCTCTCGGGTACGGCGACCCTCCGGCGAGGTTCGTGTTTTGGTGATTTGGCTTCGGTCAACCTGTAGAGAAAAGAATGGTGATCACGGTGATATAAAAATTGCATCGAACGGAGGCCGGGAAGGGCCTCGTCGGAGGCAAAAACCGAGAGGGGGCGCGGCGGCGCCGCTGGGCTTCGGCCGCGTATTCCGGCCGTTTGGCCGGGATTTCGGCTTCGATTTGGCCATAGGAGGAATCAGTGGGGAAAAACGAGTCAGGGGTATGAAATTTACCTCGATCGGCGGTCGGAAATTTCCCCGGTGCGGCGGCGAGTGGCGGCGGGTGGCGGCGGTCGGCCTCTGGTTCGTCTTCTCCGGCGAGCGGCTGGCGGCTAGGGTTTGTGGTCTGGTGTGGGGGTTCTATTTATAACCCCTTGCCTTTTGATCACAGCCGTTCATTTCATTTTAATCTGGGCCGTTCGTTTTTGATTGAATCTGGGCCGTCCGTGCGTTTGAATCTGGGCCGTCCGATCGCGCGATTGATCTGGGCCGTCGGATCGCACCCACGCGGATCGCCAACGTGGCTCCTTTTGGAGTGACGCGATCTTGCCACGTGGCAGGCCCCGGTTGGCCGGGACTGCTGACCGGGCCTGCTGACGTGGC